CGGAGAAAAACCAAAAAAAAAAAAAAAAAAAAAAGTATCCTTAAAACACTGCCTACTGAATCCTGTCATTTTTTTTTTTGAGGTGTGCAAATATTGAATGTTTGAATGGCAAATGTTAACATCACCGTATTTACAATAGCTAACATATGTTGAGTAACTACATGTGTCCACAGAAGCCGGAGGAAGATCCTATTATTTTCTACTTTATAAATGAGGAAAACATTCATTTATTTACTTATCTTTTTTCCTATCTATCTATCCCTCATCTAGTTATTACTTTTTATTACTTATTTATTTTGAGACAGGGTCTCACTATGTAGTGCAGGCTGGCCTCGAACTCACATGGATCCTCCTGCCTCAGCTTCCCTAGTACTGGGATCACAGGCGTGTGCCACCACACCCAGCTTTCACCTATTTATTTTTGCAGTGCTGGGGATCAAACCCAGGGCGTTGTGCAAGTGCTCTACCTCTGAGCCACCTCCCAAGGCAGAAAACTGAATATAAAGAGGTCAAAAGTCAGGAGGTGACTAAACTGACATATGGTAAAAAATATGCATATCTGTAATCCCAGCACGTGGGAGGCTGAGGCAGGAGGAGTACAAATTCAAGGCCACCCTGCACTACATAGTAGGGGTGATTGAGGATATGCTGAATGTTTAAAGACAGTTTTGCTACAGTATAAGACACACTACCAAGAATAATGTAATATGTGTATTCAAAGTGTGGGGGAATATTTCCAAGCAGATTAATGGTAATGTGTCTTCTACTGTAAAGAAATTTTAAAATTTAAATATTCACCGTATCATCTTATCACTCTGGTTGATCAAACGTCTAAGGCAATTTCTGTCAAGTAAGATGACGACGCTGTGTCCTCATCCACCTTCTCACTGCATTTGGCTCTGTGTGACTTCCGGCTCCTTCCGAAGTCAGAGTCACCACCATCGCCGCGGGAGGGAAGCATTTTGAATCTAACCAAGACGTGGAGGCAGCCACAACCACGCAAGGGCCCCCCGAAGAGGGGCTTCCAGAGCTGCTTCGGAAAGTGGCAAGGGTGATGAGTTTGAAGCACAGGGGAATATTCTCAAGGGGGTTAATGGCAACAAGTCTTTTACTCTAATAAATCCACAACCAGTTTAATCACTCACCGTATTTTCTGATCACCCAATGTACTGAGACCCTGTCTCAACGACGAAAAATAAAAACCCGTGACCTCAAAAATCCAAACAGCAGCAACAACTGATTAATGGCACTTGAGAGGCACAAATTCAACGTAGTCTAAAGAGAACAGGACAGGCCCACCCATAGTGACTGCAAAATGCGTCATGAGAATTTAAGGGAAGAAATCATTTTTGGCTTTTTTATGACACGCGAGTCCACTCATCCTACATAGCTTTAAAGTTTCTGAATTTTAGAAAATACCTTAAAAAGTAAAATAAAATTTCTGCATTATTTAGGAACAATCCCCGCAGGTACCCGTATCACACAGGCCTTGCGTTAAGTACATGCGTATGTGCAGGGATGTGTGGGCAGTACACACACACGCATAGTAAATATGGAGCATGGACACACACTTACACATGTACAGCATATGTGCAAGGACGTGTGCACACAAACACACGCAATGGGACGCGCGTGGAGCATGAGGAAAACAGGCTATGGAGAATGATTCAGACCCCAGCAAGCACCACAGATATGACCTGGTCCCCTAGTTCTACAGGAGGAGATACAGACCCAGCAAGATTGAGTAATCCGCAAAGGTTACAAAACAGCAGCGCCTAGGCCGTGTTTGCAAGAATAAACTAGCTCTTGCAAAGCAGCGCACGTTGGTGAGACACACAGTAAATAAATCAATGTCTGGTACCCTTGGCTGATCTCTCCCCAAAGGCTTTCCTTGAAATCCTCAGAAAACACTGATAGGCAAACGGACAAGGCCGCCGATGGAGGAGCGTGCTCCGGACGGCGCAGCAGCCGGCGCAACTTCTAACCAGAGCCCTGCACACAGCGGCCTTCTGCCCGGCTCAGCCGCACCGCCACGACCGCTGCGAGGCCCTCTGCGTGCCGCTGCACACAAGGACCCTTCCCCGCCTCCGCAGTAGCTGACTCTGTCGCTGCCGCTTCCGTTCCCACCCAATTCCTGCCATTCTTCCCATACACACAGGGCGGTTGTATTTGCAGGCCTGCGGCTGCCCACTCTCTTCGCAGTCTCCAAGTGTTTGTTTTGGGGACTCAGGACCTCGCTCTTGCCACGCAGGCGCAGCCCTGCTGAGCTATATCCCCGGCCCCCTCAGTACCCAACTCTTATTTATTTATTTTTGGTTTTTGGAGACAGGGTCTGGCTATGTAGTTCAGGCTGGCCTTGAGCTTACTTTGTAGCCCAGGCTGGCCTTGAATTTGAGGTGACCCTCCTGCTTCAGCCTCCTGGGTGCTGGGATCACAGGTGTGCATCATCACAACACCCAGCTGAGGGGTTTTTAAAAAGAGGCATTGAAAAGAGTAATGAAGCATAATCAATTCCTAATTATTCATATTCATAGAAAAACAGTAAGGTATGCATTTTACATTTATCTATGGATCACGTTTTAATTTTCCTTAATCAACTGATGGCTTCTAAAAATAGACACACTGATTTCTCCCTAACCTGAAAAGAGAATTCCCTCGTACTGGCTTTGTTTGCTTAGTTAGTCCCACTTTTATTCCACACCTTAACAACTGCAAAGCCCTTTGTGAGTCCCAGTTTCTGCCCCTATAAAATGGGGGTGAAGCTCCCCACCTTACTGTTGCAGAAGTAAATCACTGGCCCTGCAGGTAATTAGCACAGGCCTGGCAGCTTGTGGGCGCTCAGAAAAAAAGTGTTAGCAGCCTTACAGTCCTTGCAGGTACTTCCGGGACATGCCAGGGGGGTAAGGGGTGGGGCTGCACAAACTAAGCTGAGTAGCTCAGGAGGGCCTTAAACTCACTTTTTTTTTTTCCTTTTTGCAACAGGGTCTCCCTTTGTATTTTTTTTTTTTTTGTACCAGGAATCAAACTCAGGACCATGTGCTTGCCAGGCCGGAACTTACACCACAGAGCTAAATCCCCAGCTCATAGGGTCTTGCTTTGTAATTTATACTGGTCTTACTGGTCTTAAACTCACTATGTAGCTCAAGCTGACCTCGAACTCAAGGCAGGCCATCCTCCTGCCTCAGCCTCCTGAGTCTTTGGATTACAGTGTGTACCACACCTGGTTCTTTAATTATTGAAACATGTATTTTCTTTCCTTTTGAAAAAATTAAATACAGGGAATTGTACAGTTGGGACCCATCAGTTATAACAGCTCTTATCACTGGACTGGACCTCTTAGGGCTAGGAGAAAATTCTCAAGACTTAAGGCCTCTCTACCCACAATCAGCGGAGCTGCCCTTCGGGTCTCTCAGATGCGGGGCTGGGTGGAGGGGACAGTCTCTCTAGCCCCGGGGAAGTAAGTTGTGTAGGTGGGAGTAGCAGGAGGCCATTGAGGGCCGCAGGAGCTGACTGGCACCCGGCCGCCTCCCCAGGCCTCTTCAAAGCTCCCCAAAGCTGCTCTGAGCGCCTCCTGCCCTACCCTGCTCCAGAAAAAGCTAAGGTGGAGAAGCTCAGTAGGAAACAAAGGCGGATTTCTCCAGATCTGCGTCCTTAGCCCAAAGAATGTGAGGCTGAAAGGAGAAGCTTGTCTCTGGAAACACCCCTTACCTCTCCCCAGGTTTTCACTGAAAGCCAGGGGCTTGCTGTTGTTTTGTTTCTTTTTCTTTTCTTTTCTTTTTTTTTTTTGAGACAGGGTCTCCCTGTGCAGAGCAGGCTGGCCTCAAACTCTGGATGACTGTCCTGCCTCAGCCTCCCAAGTGCTGGGGCTATGGGCGTGTGCTACCACGCCCAGCCATAGCAGAGATTCTGTGGGTAACCTGGACTGCTGTCCTTGAGAACCGGAAGAAAAGGTCCTACCTACTCCTCGGCTCGGGGAACCTCGGAGGAAGGAGCGCCTCCGCGGGGCCGTCCGTCTGCGGCACCACAGCGTCAAGCACCCGCTTCTCGCTTCCGAGGCACAAGGCGTTTTGCCTTTCCACGGCCCTGCGGATGACTAACAGAAAACGAGGGCAGTAGCAACACGGGTGGCAGAGGCCATGGACTCATTCTCCTCTCCCCACTCTGCGGAAAGTGCTCACCCTGAATTCCACCGCACCCTTGCCAGTTCTTTTGGGTTAATTTCACTCAGAGAAAGTTCCTTCCTGTTTGATCTTCTGCTGACTTGTATTTGTTCTTTTTTTATGCCTACCCTAAGGTCTTTCTTACTCTGGGTCTGAGCCGCATTAAATCTTTCTGGAACAAGGA